CAGATCAAATCACAACAACGTAGGAAACAGATCTGGCGTGACGCAGCTGACACATTATTTTACCGATCTCCTTGCTACGTCTCTGGACTTGGGAACATTTCAGTTGCGTTGCTGTCTATGGGAGGGTCAGAGAGCTCTCAGATTTCATCAAAAATATCTTAATTTGTGTTCCGAAGATGAACGAAGGTCTTACGGGTTTGAAACAACATGAGGGTGAGTAATTGATGACAGAATTTTCATTTTTGGGTGAACTAACCCTTTAAGATTCATAATGAAACGAATTGTGCTGATTCTTTGTAAAAGCAAACATGTTTGACTCACTTTGCTCCTCTTCATAGTGATCCTAACGTGTCCTGACTCTACGATGTAGAAACAATCTGCCAAATCACCCTGTGAAAACAAGGTAGCAGTTTGGGGTCAGTAAGATTTATTTCATATTTTTGAAAGAAGTCTTTTCTGCTCACCAAGTCTGCATTTATTTGATCAAAAATACAGTAAAAACAGTAATATTGTGAAATATTTTTATAATTTAAAATGACTGTTTTCTATTTGAATATATTTTAAAACGTAATTTATTGCTGTGATCAAAGCTGAATTTTTGTGAAATATATAATTTAAAATGACTGTTTTCTATTTGAATATATTTTAAAACGTAATTTATTGCTGTGATCAAAGCTGAATTTTCAGCATCATTACTCCAGTCTTCAGTGTCACGTGATCTTTCAGAAATCATTCTAATATACTGATTTGCTGTTTAATAACCCTTTTATTATTAGTAGTAACAGAATACAACACAGAAAACAGCATTTATGTGAAATAGACAAATAAATCACTTTATAAATCTATTTAAGTATTTTTAATTTTAATAATTAACCCTTGCTGAATAAAAGAATTAATTTCTTATAAAAAATCTAACAGATATTATATTATATTTAGTGCTGTCAAATGATTAATCTCGATTAATCGCATCCAAAATAAAAGTTTTTGTTTACATAATATATGTGTGTGTACTGTGTATATTTATTGTGTGTGTGTATATCACAATTTAGAGCTCTAAAGAAAGGAATAAATCATTATGCTACTTATATAGGCTAGAGAATAAGGCAATTTGCAAATCGCAAATGTAGCCATTTTCTATAGAGTTAAAAAAGTGATAAAGCAGCAAAAAAGAAAACCATCCAAATAGTATAAATAAAATAACCAAATAATACATATTTTATATATCCCTAATTTATAAATAAAAAATGTATATTATAAATGTATTTAATAAATAAACATATTTTTCTGAAATATATACATGCGTGTGTGTGTGTATTTATTTTATTTATTTATTTATATATATATATATACATACATGCATGCATACATACATAATAAATGCACACACACATATATTATGTAAACAAAAACTTTTATGTTGGATGCGATTAATCGAGATTAATCGTTTGACAGCACTATTATATTATAACATTATTATACATATTATAACAGATAACTAAATTACTAAAATTGGATGAACCATTAATTCTAAGTTTTTCCCAGTTTTTTTTGTAATAAAAAAAACTGTTAAAAATTGTATAGCGTTTGTACTCACAAATTGTACTCAATCTGATTAAATATATTAGTGCTGAGAATAAATAGATGCTTGGCACTAATATAAACTAAAAAAGAAAAAGAAATGTCTAGGCCTTTACATTTCCAGGTTTTTCATGACTGTAGGAACCCATAATAATTACTTAAAAATCTTAGTAGAAAAACGTTTATTAGTGTCAAAACTGTCTAACCTGAGCAATGATCTGTTCTCCACTGTTGTACACTTTGGTCGACAAGACATCAACAACCTTCATTCTCTCTGAAACCTGAAAACAGGAGACACATTTATTTATAAAATCAACAAGAGAACTGCACATGCAGACAAAAACTCACATCACAAAATACAGTTAGCAGATAGCATGTTGGTAGAAGTTGCCAGATGAATGCAAAAGTGTGTGTTCAAACCTCCAGTGACGTGAGCAGAGGAAGAGTCCCGATGAAAGCCTCGTACATTTTTCTTTTCTTTGCGTTGTTCTTTAAGAGGATCCTTCTGAATGTCAACCGATCCTAGAGACATTTAAGCAAAAAAATAATAAAATAATATTTTACACTCAAGAGAGATTGAATCTTTAAAGTCCTATAATTTCAGTATTTTCTGTGAAAAGCAGAGGGCGCTCTAACACAAACAATACACGAGATGCTCTTGGAGAAAGAAACAAGATATTTAGCATCTAATTTTACTGTGAACTTAAATACCAGGTTGTTTTTTGCCGAAACCAGTTGTTTAGAAAATGATGCACTGCAACTGCGCTGAATTCACGCAACTGCAAATTCATTAAAATATCTTTTTTTTTGTTTTGTTTTTTTTCCTCAGAAGAAAGAGTCGTACGACTTTGGACCGTTATGGGTGAGTAAATGATTGTGATATTTTAGATTTATTTTTGTTATTACTAGTATAGTTTGTTAATATTTTGAATTGTTTTATTTTTATTATTTATGTTTTCATTTTCATTATAGTTAAAATTGTTGTCGTGTTATTGTCTTTTATTTCCTTTATTACTTTCAAATTTTAGTTTTAATTATTTTAGTACTTCAACTTTAAACGTAAATGAGAAATGTCGCCTTGGCAAGTAGCTGAAATAAAATGCATTTAAGTTATTATTATTATTTTTTATTTACTTTTTTCTCAGTTAATGTTTTTTATTTCACGAAAAAAAAATTTTATGGTTTTAATTATGAAATCTCATTTCTGCCACAAAATTTAAAAAAATTAAATAGGTAATTGCGACTCTTTATCTCGCATTCTGACTTTTTTTTTCTGAGTTTATATCTCACAATTCAGTTTTGTTTTTTTTTCTCAGAACTGCGAGATATACGTAAGGTCAGAATTGTGAGAAAGATTCTGACTTTCAGAATCGTGAGATACAAAGTCACATCCACCTTTTTGTTTTTTGTTTTTTAAATAATCCGGGGAGGAAACTGGCTTCCATAGTTAATAATCATGGTGAATGATGACAGAAATGACTCACGAGGCACCACAGGGCTCCAGGTGAGGTAGCGATGATGGTGGCGGCCCTCGGCGTGTTGTACATGAGGGCCAGCTCTCCAAAACTCCCACGGTTGTCATAAGAGCCCACGGTCCGCGTGGTGCCGTCCGCTTTCAACATGATGTCAAACGTTCCTCTGCGCAAGAAACACAACGAGATATCGATGTCTGAGAGGTTTAAACACCAGCGTCGAGATCCAAAGATGAATCCGTTATACCTCTCAATGACGTAGAAGTTGTCGCCATCGTCGTCTTGATCGATGATGTGCTCTCCGGTCACCACTACCTTCTCAAATATGGCATCCAAGACTTGTGACATCTGCTCCTGTTGGTTTTGGAGGGCAAAATATGAGCCTTTCTTGTCTTAAAAGGGGTCATATGATGCAATTTCAAGTTTTCCTTTCTCTTTGGAGTGTGACAAGCTGATTGTGCATAGATAAGATCCCTGAAGTTGCAAAGACTAAAGTCTCAAAACCAAAGAGATATTCTTTATCAAAGTTAAGACTCTGCCACGCCCCCCTAAAACGGCTCGTTCTAACACGCCCCCACATATCTACCACACTATTTTCGAGTTTTCCTTTCTCTTTGGAGTGTTACAAGCTGATTGTGCATAGATAAGATCCCTGAAGTTGCAAAGACTAAAGTCTCAAAACCAAAGAGATATTCTTTATCAAAGTTAAGACTCTGCCACGCCCCCCTAAAACGGCTCGTTCTAACACGCCCCCACATATCTACCTCACTATGTGGAAATATTTGCATAATGCGGCCCAAATGTTCACGCAAAGAAAGAAGGCGTGGTTTCAGTAACCGCAGTTAGTGTTGAAGCAGCCATGTCAGGGAGACGGTGTGTGTTTCAGTGCGAAAGCAAAAGCACTTTATTTGGCCTTCCGAAAGTAGATGCATTTAGGAATCTTTAAGATTACTTACAACAGAACAGCAATGCATTTTATGGACGACCGTTTCGTGAACCTAGGAGAGGGCTTTGCTATGACAATCTGGCGCTTCTGAATCAGCTACTGTTTTGTTATTAGTTTTAAGTATTTGCTATTGACTGTTCAAATGCAGAGTTTTGCGCATCTGGTGTGTGTGTGTGTGTGTGTGTGTGTGTGTGTGTGAGAGAGAGAGCGAGAGAGAGAGGGGGTCACATCACAGTGGAGTCAGCTGTCTTAACCGCGGCTTGTGTACTGCATCATTACTGTGTCTGTCACGCGACTCTGTTTCCCTTTCGGGCTCTGTCTTTACATTTATTTTGAAAGATTGCAAGATTTATGGTAAGGGGCGTTACATTTCCGACGAGTGCTTGCGGTGTTCGGCCAATCACAATGCACTGGGTCAGCTGGCCAATCAGAGCAGACTGCACTTGTCTGAAGGAGGGACTTTGTAGAAAACGAAGCGTTTGAGAGAGGCGGGGCATAGAGGACCTACAATAATGTACAGTATTTGAAAAATAATGTGTTTTTTGAACATTAAAGCTTGTCAACATATTCTGTTACACCAAATACACAAAATAATGATCTTTAAAAAAGCATCATATGACCCCTTTAAAGGGGAGAGTTCAGCTAAAATGTATTTTTATTTCTTCTGTCAAATGTAAAAGGAGATATTTAACAGATTTCAGGTGAATAACTGCACACATTTGGGTTTGTTCCCAGTGTTATTATAGTTAACTAAAACTAAAGCCATAAAAAAATATTACTTGAAATAGAATACATTAACTGAAAAAAAATACTAAAATAAAAATGTATTAATTTAATAAAGAGTTATATTTAAATCAAGTAAAATGACAAAAAAAAACTTTAACAAATTAAAATGAAAAGAAAATATAAAAATAAAAACAAATTTAAACTTTTAATTAAAAACTCTAATAGTGTCTCAAATTATAAATAATTATAACTAAATTATAACTACAACTAAAACTTAAACATTTTTTATTTGAAATAAAGTTGGAATAAAATAAAATATAAATATTATAAAAAATGACAAAACTGAAATGCTGCCTTGGCTGCTAACTTAAATAAATAAAAACTCAACTAAAACTGATATAACACTGACATAAAAATAATATAAACGTAAACTTTAATATTAAACAAAAGGAAGAAAAAAACTCATAAAAATGACAAAAGCACATAAAGCTACTAAAAATTAAAACTAAAACTGAAACTGGCCTAAATAGTAATATAAAAAAACTAAAAATAAAACTTAAAATTAAAATGGAACCTGAAAATATAAAAATAAAAGTTAATTCAAAAATATTAATAAACACTTTAAAATAATACTAAAATAACACCGGTTTGGAAGAACATTAAAAATATACAGTATACTGTACATATAAAATCTGGAACATTACAATGACAATTTTTTTGTATTTTTATAGAATTTTTCAAAAAAAATGTAGCATTTTTTTTTCAGTAGCCTCTAGCACAGGAACTAAACAAACCATCTATGTTAATCTTAATGGTTGTCTGAAAACAAATGAGCTAAAACTTGCATTTTATTCTCTCAGAAACGGTTGATAATCTTACCTGGTCCAGGTTTTTGAACAGTAGGATGTCTTTGCAGGCTTCCTGTAGCCTCTGTCTCTGCTCGTCTGTTTTGGGGTGAGTGACCTGAAGGCACATCAAAGCATGATGGGATACCGTGCAGCAGATGCCACAGAAATGCATAAAAGTGGAGGGACTCTCTGTCGCAGGTTTCGAGAGACCACTCACCCTGGGTTCTCTCTCCTCTTCATCCTCATCAGGGTTGTACGCCTCCGCACAAACTGTCCAGAGACCAATGAATTCAGTAAATCGGAAGCAGGATTAGAGTCGAAAACCAATAAAACCAGCCTGTCTAGACAACGCATTACTGCGCAATTAAAATACAGCGCTTTGTGCAACCTGTTAAAATAAAAACAAGCCATTTAATCAGCATCTGAATCTTAATGTCTACTTTCAAACACTGTTCTATTGGATCGTTTAAATGGTTAAAAACACATACAATTACAATACTCATCCTCATGTTGTTCCAGACCTTTAAGACTTTTAATTTTTTAGTGAAACATAAAAGGAGATGATTAGTAGATTGTCCAAGCTACTCTTTTACAAACTTGAAAATATAGTGTCAATTTAAGCTAAGAAAGAAGGTTTTTCAGTGCATAATAACTTAAATTTGGGTTTGGGTCTAATCAAATCAAATCTAAAATTAGAAACGTTGCTTTAACAGCTAACTGAAATAAGTAAAAATAATTATAAATAAAATAACCTAAACCTTAATATAAAAAAGCAAATAACAAAATGACTAAAAATGAAGACTAAAACTGAAACTAATAAATTGAACCTAAAAATTAAGATTAAAACTGACATTAAATAAATTAAACCTAAATAATAATATTTAAAATAATAAAATGACTAAAGCACATAAAATTCTAAAAATGAAAACTGAAATAAAAATAAATTAAACCCAAATAGTAATATTATAAAATATATATATATAAATAACATGACAAAAGCACACAACTGAAAATGAAAAAAACTAAAACCGAAAGAAATTAAATTGAAACTAATGGTAACGAAATGACGAAAGCACAAAACAAAATTACTAAAAATGAAACCGAAATAAACATAAATAATAATATTTAAAATGAAATAATAAAATGACAAAAGCACATAAAAATGTATACTAAAACTGAAATAATAAGTTATATTAAAAAAATGCTAATAACAAAAGCACTTAAAATTCCTAAAAATAGAAACTAAAACTGGAATAAATATAAATTAAACCTAAACAGTCGTTACACCTAAATTGTAATATTTAACAGAAAACAAATGACAAAAATGACAAAGCACTTAAAATTCCTAAAAATAGAAACTAAAACTGGAATAAATATAAATTAAACCTAAACAGTCGTTTAAAAAAAAACTAATACAATTACAAAAGCACATAACAAAAATACTAAAAATGAACCTAAAACAAAAAAAAAACTGAAAATATAAAATTATTGATTATTATCTTGAAGTAGCTTTACAGTTCAAGAGTTGTATAGGCTACTTTAATCTTACTTTACAATGCTTTGTTATTTCATTGTTTGGAAAACAGAAGCTCAGATGATCTCCGTTTATGTTCTACAGGAGAAAGAACGTCATCCGGGTTTCAAAACCACATGAGGGTGAGTGAATGTGTAAACTTTCATTTTTCGATGAACTATTCGAGAAAAGTTTGCGGGAAATCTGTTCCAAGCGCTTGCAGCGCTGCTCTCTGCCTGTGTTACGCATGCAGCGAGAGAGATGAGCGGATCGGCTGCTCTCCTCTCCCACACGCCTCCACTATTCCTGCTATAAATACCAGCGCAGAGATGACAAGACCAGGACTCCACCGTCTAGATCCATACTCCACTCGCAGACCTGAAGTACAGGAACCGTCTAGATGGATCTAGCTCACAGCTCTAGACTGTTTACATCAGTCCGGGGCCTGTTTCACAACATTTGGTCCTTAATTTCAAGTATTCAGCTCATCTGATCTGCTACAAAAATCACAGAAATTGTGTTTTGTCTACGTTTCTCTATGTACAGCATTCACTATCATTCAAAAGATTGGGGTTGGTAAGATTTTTTTTTTTAAACTCTCTTAGAGTTTTAGACTTTTATGCTTACCAGGGCTCCATTTATTTGACCAAATATACAGTAATATCATGAAATATATATATATATATATATTGTGTTGAAAACAGTTCATATTTTTGTGGAAACCATGATACATTTTTTTTCGGGATTCTTTGATGAATAGAAAGTTCAAAAGAACAGCATTTATTTGAAATAGAAATCTTTCGTAACAATACGTCTTCACTATCACTTTTTTATCAATTTAATGCGTCCTTTCCAAATGAAAGTATTAATTTCTTTCAAAAAAAATACCTTACTGACCCCGAACTTTTAGTGCAAGTCTACATTTTATGTCATTCTTGATCACATCTGGTCTGATCTGAGCTGTTTTCAGTCACAGAGTTCAAACCTGACATGAAATAAACCAGATGGGGAACAACGTTTAACACTGCGTTTATAGAAGCCTTTTTCCATTACAATAAAGTGCCTGACAGATATATGTTCGGGACGATTTATCTACAGTATCACATCAATATAAGGACTGAATATGCTCCTCTTCATGACACTATAAACTCATTTCTTTTTAATTGACCACCAAACTTCTACTTTTCCCCATTACTATCAGACTTCATTTCCTATTTCAGTCCGGTCTGTCAGCACAACACATTAAAATCCCTCCATCCGTCCTCACTTGTGGTTTCTAGCGATCCACGAGAGACAGAACTTCACAGCATCTGAAACACTTTATTTCTGCAAACAAAGCTGATCTGCCATTAGCCAATTAAACCATTAGCTCTCTCATTCACTCAGTGAGCAGTAAAGGAGTAAATGGTATGTTAACAAGACAAAAGGCACTACGACCACAAATGCAAGGTCATTAACCAGAACCAGATGTTCTGTAAGATGGGGATTTGAAGTAAACTGCCTAGAAGTTAAAGAAATAGTTCACCCAAAAAGGAATAATTTGCTGAGAATGTACTCACCCTTAGGCCTTTCAAGATTAGGATGAGTTTGTTTCTTCATCAGATTTGGAGAAATGTAGCAGTACATCACTTGTTCACCAATGGATGTGAATGGGTGCCGTCAGAATGAGAGTCCAAACAGCTGATAAAAACATCACAATAATCCACAAGTAATCCACACCACTCCAGTCCATCAGTTAACATCTTGTGAAGCCAAAAGCTGCATGTTTGTAAGAAACAAATCCATCATTAAGGCATTTTAACTTTAAACCATCACTTCTGGTCAAAATACAAGTCCATAATTCATAATAACGCTTCCTCCAGTGAAAAATCCATCTTCTGTTATCCTCTCACATCAAAATCACCCAGCATATTTGTGTAAAACAGTGTTGGACTGTTTTCTCTTGTAAACGGTGCTTGATCTGTGCAGATTTCGCTCCTGATTCAGAGGAGATGACTTTTTTACTGGAGAAAACAATATTATGGATTATGGACTCATATTTTCCCCGGAAGCAACGGTTTGAAGTTAAAAACATCTTAATGATGGATTTGTTTCTTACAAGCACGCAGCTTTTCTCTTCTCCAGATGTTAACTGATGGACTGGAGTGCTGTGGATTACTTGTGGATTATTGTGATGTTTTTATCAGCTGTTTGGACTCTCATTCTGACGGCACCCATTCACTGCAGAGCATCCATTGGTTGAGCAAGTGATGCAATGCTACATTTCTCTAAATCTGATGAAGAAACAAACTCATCTACATCTTGGATGGCCTGAAGGCGAGTAAATTTTCAGCAATTTTATATTTTGGTTGAACTTTTCTTTTTGTTCTCTTTGGCCACAAAATCAGGTTCAACAATAAATTACTAGTATATAAGAAACCATATAAATCTTCATAGAAAGCTCTTATGCAGATGGGATTTATGTGATGAATGCACTGGATTGAATTTACTAAATTTTGTTTAGTTTTTCTTTTCAGGAACCCGAGAATGAATTCAGATGCACCTGAAAATAGGAGTTGGTAATCATATTACTGAAACTGACTCCTTTACTACTCGTGAACTGCATTGCCGGAAATTGACAAACTCACCAGAAGCTCTCCGGACAAATCTGTTGATAACCGGAGCTGAAAGAAAAGAAAGAAAAATTACTCATAATGCATTACAATAAAATGGAATATTAATGCCTATAAAATATTCAATTCAAGATGAAACAGTATTGGCCTAATGGATCCGTTTTCTCTCAGGAATCATCTTTCTTCCTGTCCAAAATCAAAACGTTTGCTTCATAATTGATACTCCCTCTGAATGACACACACTTCATCATCATCACATCTTCATGGAAATACAAAGCATTTGCATGCAAAAAAAAAAACAATACAGGAAAAGGCCTAGTGCCAATATTTTTGTCCTAATGCACACACGGCCTTGTATAATTTTTTTATGAATAAAGACCAGAGCTTCTATAAGAAATGCAATTAAATTAGAACATTTAGATGACAACAACGGGAAGTGCAATAACAAAAATATCATTTAAAGCCAATTAAGCTTGGTCTTTTGTTCCAACCCCCATCTGCAGTGAGCTGACCACTCAATTTTTGACGGAAAAAAATGAACCAGTGAACAAAAGACCAGCATTATTGTGCATCCATTATGAAGGATGTCTGTATAAACGGTGATCTAGCTGATGTGATGGACGCGTCGCAATGAATGAAGGAAGAACGCACGCACGCACGAATGCATTACCTACGAATTCTTCATCATCGTCCTCGTCCTCTCCGTTTTCGGAGTCGATCTGCATGGCCTCCTCGATGAAGTTGACGGCTTTCCCCGCTCGCGCGGCTGAATTGTGCTCATTGCCAAACGCGCCGCCGCGGCTCTCGTTCTCCTTGAGACGCGTGAAGTACTGCAGCGCGAACTCCAGCAGGTCCCCCGGCTGGTTCCTCAGGACCTCCACGGTAAAGCTCTGCAGAAGCTCCGTCAAGCCCTCGGGGATTTCTATACTCATTTCCTGACGGTGAAATGTGCGCAAAATTCGGCCCGATCTTGCGCGTAACGTTAACAGCAGTCGGTCCCGGTTCGCCGCGTCAGCTGAGAAGAATGATCCGCAAACGCGTCAGAGGCAACGCGACGGATTTCTCACTATTCCACCATCTGCGTCTGTTTCCTCTCGTGTCCGAGCGCGTCCTCTAATTCGCGGGCGTAAAAATGGCAGGGAATTCAAGAGCTGGCATCTTTTCTCTTTTTTGTTGCGCTGCTGGCTACAGGAAAGCCGCGCATGTGATGCGGGAAACCATGGCAACCGGCAACCTGGGGTTTGCGCAGGAGGAACGCGGACGCGACGCGATGAGCTAGAACGCAACGCGAGCTCTTAAATAACCACTGCGATTGCACCATGGTATTATGACGTTTTTGGACACGTACTATGGTATTACTATAGTATTAGTTGAAATCGCTACATTGGAGTGTATGTAAATATGGCACAGGCCTATATGAATATGGAAATAATTCAGGACAATGGTAAGGAATACCGGGGCTAGTTGTCACACCTTTTTTCTCATTTAAATATATTTCTCAAGATTTATTGAAAGTCACCTTAAGTAGGCTACAGAAACAAACTTGACTACTAAAATAAATAAATAAAAATAAATTGAACATAAGTTTTAGAAGTCAGAAGTCAGAAAGAGCTTTATTACCAAGTATGTTTACACACACGATGAATTTGACCTGACTACAGGAGCTTCAAGTGCAGAAGAAAGTATGGACATACATGATAGTGCAGACATACATAGGAATAAGACAGTAGAGATGAAATACAACACTAATATAAGAAAAACAGAAAATGAAATACAGATGTAGAAGTGTAGAAAAAAGTTTTAATTGTTTAAATGAATGTACAGACATGTTATTAACAAGTGTGCAGTTTACAATGTATACATTTCGAATTCTATGTATATGTCAGTTATGACAGAAAATAAATTATGAAATTACATCTGTAAATAAATAAAATAATGTAATATAAAATATATATTTTTATAAATATTATATAAACTAAAATGACAATAAACAGTATGTACGTGTATATAAATACTATATACAATTATGATATAGTATGAATCTACCCCAGCCTGACTTTTATGAAAAATACCCTGAGAACAAGTTCAGCAAGACTTTTGGCAGTTCAGTTTAGACTTTGACAAGCTTTCCTCTGTGATAACTAGCCCCGGTCTCCTCTAATATATACAGTAACCATCTCTGTACATAAAACTGCATCATATAATACAGATTCAAGACAATGCAGAAGATGGTATGAGGCAAAATGTTGTATATTCATTTGCGCCTCTTCAGAGTGACGCTTTCAAAAATAATTACGTTAATGGATAAACAGACACCTCAGGCAGAATTAGACTAAATGGGCTGCTGGTTAATCCTGTTTTGACTAAATATGAGCTGATTATGTTGAGATTATTAAGCATGAATACATTTTAAAATTGGAGAGTATCAGAGTTTGACCTTCTGGGAACAATGAGATTGTTGTTATATAAAGGTGCGAGGCCTGCTCCCTCTCTCTTTTAATCTGTCATAATGTATACAGAATTACCGGAGAGAGTAGAGTAGAGTAGAGTAGAGTAGAGTAGAGTAGAGTAGAGTAGAGTAGAGTAGAGTAGAGTATTAAAATAACTTTTGGGAAACAAAAGAATGTCACGGAGACTTTAATATTAATGACAGTCAGAGCACAAAAATCACGGCAACCTTTTTACACTGCCCTCAGCAGTGAAATATTTCAGTATTGTAAGTCACATTTAAAAAAAAAAAAAAAAATTACATCTGTAAATAAATAAAATAATGTAATATAAAATATATATTTTTATAAATATTATATAAACTAAAATGACAATAAACAGTATGTACGTGTATATAAATACTATATACAATTATGATATAGTATGAATCTACCCCAGCCTGACTTTTATGAAAAATACCCTGAGAACAAGTTCAGCAAGACTTTTGGCAGTTCAGTTTAGACTTTGACAAGCTTTCCTCTGTGATAACTAGCCCCGGTCTCCTCTAATATATACAGTAACCATCTCTGTACATAAAACTGCATCATATAATACAGATTCAAGACAATGCAGAAGATGGTATGAGGCAAAATGTTGTATATTCATTTGCGCCTCTTCAGAGTGACGCTTTCAAAAATAATTACGTTAATGGATAAACAGACACCTCAGGCAGAATTAGACTAAATGGGCTGCTGGTTAATCCTGTTTTGACTAAATATGAATGAGCTGATTTGAGATTATTAAGCATGAATACATTTTAAAATTGGAGAGTATCAGAGTTTGACCTTCTGGGAACAATGAGATTGTTGTTATATAAAGGTGCGAGGCCTGCTCCCTCTCTCTCTTAATCTGTCATAATGTATACAGAATTACCGGAGAGAGTAGAGTAGAGTAGGGTAGAGTAGAGTAGAGTATTAAAATAACTTTTGGGAAACAAAAGAATGTCACGGAGACTTTAATATTAATGACAGTCAGAGCACAAAAATCACGGCAACCTTTTTACACTGCCCTCAGCAGTGAAATATTTCAGTATTGTAAGTCACATTTAAAAAAAAAAAAAAAAAAGGATATTAGACACATTTAAACTCAATTGTGCTTTTCAGATGCTACAACCTCATCATCTGCAGAGAGAAACTGCCATTCAATCACACCAAAATACAGATAA